GCTTCATCCAAGACGCTACATGTATTTGCCAATCAAGATATCCGACAACAATATGCTTACAACACATTTAATTAGAGACACAAGCTAACTATAGTTGGCTTATTGTGTAATAATCAATCTAGTTTTAGTGCCTACATTGCTAACTGTGGTACTTACTATCAGAGTCAATAGTGGGTCCTGTGACTAGACTGTACAGGATATATAAATAAGCAGAAGGGATTGCTGCATGGGAAAGAAGCTAATGAAAAGCATACCCCCAACTTAAGGGACACCTTATAGTACAAAGTATAAAAGCAAAGTACACACCCCTAGCACACCTACAGTAACACAGATCGAAAAGAATATATACAAAAGTGATTTGAAAATGTAAATGCAGTAAAACACTTTTGACAGGTATAATTACTTTCTTTAGATATATACATTGGACACAAGAGGCATCTCTGAGGAGGGTAGATGGAAATCTGAGGAGGAAAAGGGACATCTAAGGGGAAATGAGAGACATCTTATGGGAAAGGGGAGGGAGCATCTAAAGAGAAAAGAAGGACATCTAAGGGGGGGGGGATATCTGAGGAGGAAAAAGGACATCTGAAGAGGAAAATAGAAATTTGAAGGGAGAAGAGGGACATCTGAGAAGGAAAGAGGGGCAGAGGGAATTTGTTTCATATGATCGACAGTCCCTCCAAATGAGGAACAGTTGGGAGGTATGGAGAAGTAGCTCATTACCAGAACTACAGCTTGCAGACTAAAGTTGGCTCACTTTCAAACAGCTAAATTCAGGGACCTAATTTGAATTCCTTTTATAGTACTCACCTCTCTTTTGACCACCACTGTGCGCTGCACCTGTCCCCATGTCCTGCATGTGACTCCTTGAACAAGGACTGCTGCAGTGTTAAATATCTATACCCAATGACTATTCAAAGTATTCAACCACTTAACTCTGGTCGTCTCCATGAAGATCATATGTTATGACTGTTAGCTCAATCTGTACCACGTCGACATCTATACCACCTCAATAAAATGTTATAATTCCTCTCACCATTGTGAAGGCTGTGAGTTATTCTCGTGTTATCTTTTCTTGCCACATGAATGGTGGCTGAGACAGATAGAGGCATGGAATCCAAGGAAGGCCATGCAAATGGTGAATCCAGTGAAGGGATTGCAACCACAGTACAAATGTACTTTAGTTAAAATAAAACAAACATAATGAGGATGGCAGGGAGCCATACAACTTTTAAACTGTTCTCCTGTGGATTTTTCTATAACTACATTGGGCAAAATATGAGTTACATGTAACAATTTGTAGCCAGTAAGTCATAAAGCTGCTCACATTTATGAGCGGTCTGCAGATCATTGTCACAATACTCTGTACTCTAAATTCTCCTGCAGGTAGGAGCTGAAATCGCTTCAAAAGAAATTAACATGCTAGCCGGAATTTTAAGGGCCTTGGCTATGGAGTAACTAAAGCGTTCACTATTATGAATGGAGTCCTGATGTTTTGTGTAGTGAGACTCCATATTGTCATCTGCCTCACCACTGCATGTGGTAGTAATGGGAAATATTATACGTGATATCTCCCCACATAATGCACTAGGCCTCCATACCTAATAACTAGTGAAAGCTTCTTTTACTTCCAGGCCAGAGGTCCTAGGTACAGTATCTACTGTACATGTGCCCCATGGGAAATTTGGCCCGTATATAATTGGAGCCCAAACAGGTGCACAACCTGGATCTAAGAATAAACATTAGGATAACTCAGCAGGTAGGCTGCATACACAGAGTCAGCTTACATGAATACTTTTCAGTGAAGTGTACAGGATACACAAAGGCAAAGTATACAGCATGTTTACATACACAAGATTATATTAGCTGAGAACAATGTAACTAAAAAATGTGTGAATCAACATATTAACACTCTGTGCTGCAACCACAGTTTGCATGTTCCTATGCTTTCATTCAGGTAGCTGACCTTTACACTGACTATAGAAGAGTTTTTCTTTCAACAGTAATTCATGGGAAAAGCTAAGGTATAGCAAGACATGCCTACCAACAAACATGAGATAAATCACCCAGTCTGGCCATCTTCTTCAGCAAAATCAAATATCATTAAGAAAAGGAGTATCCAAAGGAACTTTCCACAAATCCGTATTTAGCCGAAAGTGCCATTTTCGGCCGGCGCCCCCCCTTCACTTTTCGCCCGGGGCCCGCGCCCCTGCTGCACCCCCGGTTGTTACGCCACTGCCTATTTGTAGAAAGAAGAGCAGTGGATGGAGCCATGAAACATCACGAAAGAACAGAAGTGCCTGTGGCAATCAGCACTTAGTACAGCCACTCAGCACTTACAGGTGAAACTCGAATAATTAGAATATCGTGCAAAGTTCATTTATTTCACTAATGCAAATTAAAAGGTGAAACTAATATATGAGATAGACTCATTACATGCAAAGCAAGATAGTTCAAGCCGTGATTTGTCATAATTGTGATGATTATGGCTTACAGCTCATGAAAACCCCAAGAACCCAAAATCCACCACCTCAAAAAAGTAGATTATTACATGCAATCAATAAAACAAGGATTGTACATAGAACAATATCGGACCTCTGAAAAGTACAAGCATGCATATGTACTCAGTACTTGGTTTGGGCCCCTTTTGCAGAACTTACTGCAATTACTTTTGCACGATATTCTAATTATTCGAGTTTCACCTGTAGTACAGTCACTTACTGGGCATTTGTAGCCAGGACATCAACAGTTCGTCTGAGCTCCATCACTGCCATAAGTAAGAATGCTACGTATTTAATATCTCTGCTAAGGTCTGTTAGCGTGACTGTGAATCTGTAAGTGTAGCTTAATTGCATTGAAATTGGATGGTTTAGTTTACAGTAGCTGAGGTGCCTTCAGTGTGACAAAATTCTGATCAGGGAAAGCTTCTGAACTTCTTGGTTGTGTCGTAGAGTGCCTGCCGCTCCCATATATTCCAACTGGCCAGTGATGCAAACCCATGATAGTGATGAACCAAAAAAGTATGAGGGACCAGGAAAGATTTGACACTACCAGGAAGTGTAAAAAAACAAGCAGAGCGGATGGAAATAGAAGCCTGCAGCAGACATGTGCAGGCCCCTTTATATATTTGTTTAGGTAACATAACCATCATCGTAATTAAAATGCATCTTAACTGCACTGAAAAAGTTATATTTACTTTTTAACAGAAAGAAAAGAAAAGCAATACATTTTATTTAAACTACCGTAATTAAAACCATCAAAACTTACAGTAAATAAAGATAAGGCGCAAACACTGACGTTTTTGTTTTCAGAACATGAATGATTAAGGTCTAGATATTAAAGTGGAATCTGTCACCAAGAAACAAATCTTTGCACATCATTAAATACAGTTCAAATATCAAGAGCCCAGTGTCAAATTATCAGAAAGCTGACTTACCTCCAGAAATTGGTGCTCGCTGCCGTATGCCTTTAAATGAGTCCCTGTCCCCAACTTAAATGCAGGTAAAATTGCAGACAAAATCACATTTTTTAAACGCTTACTTGCAGTGTTTTTACTTTCTATAAATTGTTTTTTAATTCAATCACAATGTGCCTTTGAACTTAGAAAATGTGATTACCCCCCACCCC